ATATGCAAACATGGATGAATCTTTAAACAATTATGGTGAGTGAAAGAAGCCAGGCCCTCTCTCACACAAAAAAAGAGTACATATAAGATTCCATATATGCAGTATTCTAGAAAATGCAAACTAATCTATACTACTAGGAAGCAGAGCAGCGCCTGCCCGGGGATGGGGATGGGGGTGGGGAAGTTGTGAGCAAGAGATTATAAAAGAGCACAAGGAAACTTCTGGAGGCGATGGATATGTTCATGATCTTGATTGCAGTAATGGTTTCATGGGTACACACATAGGTCAAAACTTTTCAAATGTACACTTTAACTACAGGCACTTTATTGTAGGACAGCATATCTCAATAAAGGTTTAAAACACTTCAACAGAAATACTTACTTTTTGCTTATGTCCATCATTACCAAATCACTGATTGAATATAGGGCCCTCTGCTCATCCTAGGACTGTAGTTACCTGTCCTCGAGGGCTCAGTTTTGGGAGTGATATGAAAAGCCAGGTAAAATTCTGGGGAATTTCAGACTGAAGTGAACAGAAAACATCTTCTTGAAAGCAAAGTAACTCTACAAACTACCCTGGTTCCTAAAGTAACTCAGACGCCCATCCAAGAAAAAGGGGCTTCAAAGCAGGAAGTCATTCTTTTGGCAAAGAAGAAACATCCCAACACTGTAACCGTCTTCAGTTCATTTCATAGCCTGACCTTCTGATCATCTCAATGTATTTTAATAAAGTACAGGCATGGTGACTTCTTTTAAAAGATAACAAAAATCAATCCATGAAATTCACCGCATTATCAGAATAAAAGACAAGAATCATATAATCATCTCAACAGATGGAGGAAAAAACACGTGACACCAACTGATGATACAAGCTTTCAGTAAACTAGGAAGGGAAGGTGACTTCCTCAACAGATGAAGGGCATCTATGAAACCCTCCTTCAGCCAACACAATCCTCGATGAGAACAGATCCTTAAGGAAAATCTGAACCCTATGATTGGGAACAAGGCAGAGATATCACTCATTTCTTCTGTTCAACATTGTACTGGAGGGTCGTAATCAGTATAGTGAGAAAGAAAAAGATAATAAAAAGAATACAGATTGGAAAAAAGGAGGTAGAGCAGTCTTTATTAGCAGATGACATCTGCATGTACGAGAAAAATGCTAAGAAGCTACCAAAAAAAAACCTATGAGAACTAATAAGTGAATTTAGCAAAGTTTCAGGATACAAACTCAATATACAAAAATCAACTGTGTTTATATGTACTAGCAAAAAACGACTGGAAAATAAAAAATCATGGCGTCAAAAACATACAATACTTAGAGATAATTTAATAAAAGATGTGCGAGACCTCTACCCTGAAAAGTACAAACTCCGGCTGAGAGAAATTAAAAGACCAAATGCTTGGAGAGATATATACCATGTTCGTGGATTGGAAGACCCACTATTATTATGAGGTCTATTCTCCTCAGATTGGTCTACAGATTTGGTGTAATCCTAAACAAAATACCAGTTGGAAATTCTGTAGAAATTGGCAAGAAGACCAATATTTACATGGAAAAGCAAAGTTCCTAGAATAGACAAATATTCTTTAAAAAGGACAAAATTGAAAAACTGAGAGTACCTGATTTAAGACTCGGTATAAAACTCCAGTAAATAAAACCGTTTTGGCATAAACATAAACAAATAGATCAATGGAACAGAAATAAACTCACACTTATATATTCAACTGATTTTCAGAAAGGTCCCAAGGCAATGCAATGGGGAAAGGGACAATCCTTTCAACAAATGGTGTGAGAGCAACCGGATATCCATATGGACGAAAATGGATCTCAACGCATACCTCTCATCGCTCACAAAAGCTAACTGGAAATGGATCACAGACCTAAATGCAAAAGCTAAAATTATAAAGCTTCTAAAAGATAATAAAGGAGAACATCTTCACTATCTCGAGGTAGGCAAGAATATGCTGGGTAGGACCCAGAAAGCACTAACCATAAAAAAAGTGATAAATTAAACTTCACCAAAATGAAGAAACAACTGCTCATCAAAAAGTATTGTGTGAAAATCAACAGGGATGCCGAAGACTGAGAGAAAATATTCACTATATATATATATGATAATGGACCTGGATCTAGTATGCATAAACTCCTACAACTTAATAATAAAAAAGACAAACAACCCAACCAAAAACAGGGCAAAAGATTTAAACCGTCTCTGAAGAAAAACAGACAAATGGCCAAGAAGCCGATGAAAAAGTGCTCAGCATCATTATGCATCAGGAAAATACAAATAAACAACACAATGAGATCCCACCACCCCCGCATGAGAACAGGAAGAATTAAAGAGCCATTGCCCCCAAATGCTGGCAAGAACATGGAGCAAGTGGAACCCCGATCCGTGGCTGGTGGGAGCGTAAGATGCTCCAGTCATTTTGGAAAATGGTTTGCCAGTTCTTAAAAACATACTCTCCCCCATGACCCAGCAATTCTACTCCTTGGAATCCACCCAAATGAACACATGTCCGTGAAAAGTCTCGTACAAGCATTTTCACAGCAGCTTTCTTCATAATAGCCTAAAACTGGAAACAACTCAGATGAACAAGCAAATGGCTAAACAAACTGTCGTATTTTCACACAACAGAATATCGCTCAGCAGTAAAAAAGAATGAACTGATATAAACGACAAGCATGAATCTTAAAAACATTTTGCTGAGTGAAAGCAGCCAGACACGAAAGAGTAGACATTCTACGAGTGCATTCACACCAACTTCTCCTGCAGCCAGCACAGGTCCTCCAGGATCCTCTCACCGCACCCAGTCTCTCCCGGCTTAGGCCTGGGTACCACTTGATGAAGCCGTCAAGTCCAGCCCCTAATTCCACACAGAACCCACGGACATACAAGTCTCTAGATCCAAAGGCCAGTGGAGGGGCTATTTCTTGGTCGGCTTTCGAGAATCAGTCGTCTGTTGGTTCCAGCCTAAATCACTCATGCTGTCTTTTCAACACAGACGATCTCAGAGGCTCCAGACTTCCGTGAGTAATAGACAAGACAGATTCACTCAACAAACAGATGCAAAAAGACAAAGAGTCCACGACAGAGAGAAAAAGAAAATGAGGAACCGAGAAACAGTAGACAGCCCTTCCGGAGAGAAGCACCTGGATGTTAAGGAAGAAATCAGGGGGCCAGGGATGGACCCCTTCCTGCTGCACCATTGGACACGTGATGCAGAACAGCTTCGGGGTTAAGAGTATGGACCCAGAGCTCGCCTGCTGGGTTCAAAGCCAGGCTCCTTCTCTTCTTAACTCCGTGACCTTATGCACCCTGTTCCAGGAAGAGCCATTTGGGGCGACAGTATAAGCAGCATGCAAGTTATTCTCCAAAGGCTGACCCCACGGTTGCAGGCTGGTCTTGTAATTAACATCCAACTGGAAGTGCATTCTGGGTAGCATCCCCTCTGAGCAGCAGGGCAGGTGCTGCTTCCCTGGACAGCACAGGTGGGCAGGTGCCCACGCACAGCTGCCCCTGTCCCCGCCCGTGGAAAGCGGGATCCCCAGAGGGGTCCGGGCCATGGAGCTCAAGCTCAGCCGCAGCCCTGATATCTCAACATCGTCACCATTTGTGGGTCAACGGGATGGGTCAGTGCCCGCCCAGCAGAAGCTGTGTCCTCTCTCCTGGACACAGGACCTGGCCACACAGTGGGGACTGGATGACCCAGACGTCCCCAGCCTGGGTGGTGAGACGGGCTCCTCTAGTTGGGTCACCACTGATGCCTGCCTGAAGGTCTTCTCAGACCAGGAATCCAGACCCCTGGGCTGGAAAGACCTCAAGAGCTTCCAGAGGTGGGAAATCTGAGCCCAGAGAAGGGAAGTGACAGGTACCAGGGCACCCAGCAGTCAGGGGCTGTGCGGGATGGGAGCTCTCGCCCACGGGGAGACCCCTCAGGCTGCTGCTCTGCCCAGAGGGGAGGAATTCCTGGGAAACTCTTACATAGCCCTCCAGGCTCTGGACACTTCTCCCCGCCCACCTGAATGCTCTCATGGGGGGGACCTGCCTGTGCCGCTACTGTCAGGGCTCCAGGAGGGTCATGAGCTCCCCAGACCGTAGGCAGCTTGAACCCCCGTTGATCTTGCGTAATCCTGGCCCACCGCTAGACCTGAGCTTTCCCATCCACAGATGGTACAGGAGGGTCCCCACAGCTCTGCTGTGACAAACACAATCAAGGATGTGCCCAAACACACTCAACACCCACCCCACTGCCCCACGACGCTCGCTAAGCCCCGCCTGTCGGAACTCTGGCTGGGGACTGGAGGCCTTCCCAGCTCATCTATTTGGGGATCTAAGGATGGACATCCTCCCACCTCCAGAAGAGAAGTTGGGAAAGCAGCTGCACCAGGAGAATGGCCGGCCAGGACGAGCCTGTGAGAAGCATCCTTAGAACACTGGGGACCAGAGACAGGATGGGGCCTGCCCAAGGCCACATGCAAAGCTACAACCACGCTAGGATTAATACCCGCCCTTCCGGGTCCCGGTTTAGTGCTCCCTCTAGCTTCTGACCCCTTCCACCACCACGGGCAAAGAGGGAGCTGTCTTGTCTACATGACCGTCTCCCAGCCGGGGTCAGGCCCTGCACGGGGTCAGACTCAAGCTGCATCACACGGGGCTGGCTTTGTGGGTGCAGACCAGCAACCATCCAACTTGGGGGTGCTTAAAGAGGCAGGGACACAGCCACCGAAGGACCCGATGAGGGATGCCCACGTCCTAACCCCAAATCCACGTGGGCCCCAGGCCTCTGCGTCCCCTGAGGGAAGCTTCAGGGTGGGGTTTTCCCGGCTATTCCGGTTACTGCAGCAAAGTGGTCCCAGGTCACACCTGGACGCCTAGGGACTGGCCCAGATCAAGGCCCCCTTTGCCTTCACCCTCCCCTGGCAAGGCTCCAGAGCCTTGGCTGATAGCCAGCCCGCCCCTCCCCCAGCTTCCCCATCCCCCATCCGGTACTCACTGATGGGGGCGTGTAAGGCCACATGTTCCTGGTAGGGCGTGTAGTACTTGTACTGCTTTCCACAGAATTCACAGGTGTAATTGCCGGTTTCTGTCCAGGAAGGAGAGAAAAGTGTGGGGAAGAGGCGCCGGGCTTCCATCCAGAAGCAGTAGCATGTGTGTGCTCCCTCCCCCCAAACTCCTCCTCCTTCTGGGACCACCAGTGAGAATCAGGAGCCCACTCGACTCAAGACTACCTGGGCTCAAATCCCAGCTCGGCCATTTCGAGCTGTGTGACCTTGGGCAAATCTCTTAACCTCTCTGTGCCTCAGTTTTCCTATCCGTAAAATGGGGGTAAATAATAGGACCACCTTCTAGGATTGCTGTGAGGATTAAATTTATATGTGAAGAGCTTAGAACAGTACCTGGCACACGCTGTTCTCCTTCATTGCTCCACCCCAGGCCCTGGGGCTCAGGAAACATGTGGTGACCCAAGGTGACCTCCACTCCCAACCTGTCTCTCAGCCCCTTTGCAAGCCCTGCCCTGTGCAATGGCCAGACTTGGGTGCCCCCGTCTCCAGGACCTTCCCTGCCCCCAAGCACCCCCACCCCTGGCAGAAGGGGTCACTTCTTCCTCTCGGGTCCCACCGGACTGCGTCTTTACCTCTCCTTTGGCACTGCCTAACTTCTTTCTTCTTAAAAATGTCTGATGTAATATTGTTCACTGGGGGAAAATTATAAAATACGGATAAATACAAAATTTTTAAAAGAAGAAAAATTTCAATCATCTGTAAGCCCCATAGAGCAACAGCTACCCCTGGGGGAGAGAGTGCCCCTTGCCATTGGCCCCGGACCCCACCCCACACTCCCCTCTCCTCTCGGGGCACCCCTCTCACTGACATCATCTGTCTGGCTCCTGCGGGCCCTGAATTAGCCAGCCCTGATCTATACCCTCTCTGAAACCTGGTACATTCAATCGACAATACTTTGCGGACATCTTGCTCAATCAATAAACATTGATCTCTACGACATTTATTGGCTGCACGGTTCCCACTGGACTCGAAAATTCGCTGAGCCAGGCTCCTCTACCAGGGGACAGTCAGATTGGTTCAAAATTTTTTCCCCTATTAAAAAAAATGCTGTGATCCATATCCTTGTAGAAATTTTTGTATAGGTGCTCATTATTTTTACACATCATTGTGAAATAAGGATTACTGGGCATGATCTTCGCACATTATGGCCTCAGAATAAATTAATGGTATGTGTTTTTAAGCCTTTTGATATAAACCAGAGCACCAACTACCTACCTATCAAAAGGTTGGGCCAATTTTCACCCCAATCAGAAAGATGTGAAAATGTTTCCACACACGGTAGCCAGCATTACGTCTTATCTTCTTACATTGTGCCTGACGGGGGCGCTATAAGGCCCTGCTGGGTTCATTTTCCATTTCTTTGAGTTCTAAGGAAATTGACCCTTTTTCACGTTTAATTAACCGTGGTTTTCCATTTGTGACTTTCTCATTTGTGTTTACAGCCAATGTTTCTATAGGTATATTTACCTTTTGTAAATCACTAAGACTGAAGACATCAACATTTTGTTCTATAAGTATTTTTTCTCTATTGGTTTCTTATTCTGTTTATGGCTTTTCTCTCTCAATATAGAAGCTTCAAAATTTCTGGTAGTTAATTTTTTAACTGATTCATAAGCACTGGAAAAGGTACATGATTTGTTCTTTGTAGACTTCAAAGTCGTTAGATAAACTATATTAATTATATTATGCAAACCCTATATAATCTCCTCTCCTTGCTCGGTCAAAGACTCAATGTTGTGATCAATCTTCCCATTTCATTGCATTTCTGAATTCATTTTGTCTATTTAGACACAATGCTGCTTGATGTATATCGGCTCATGAAATCAGAATCTTCGCTGTGAACTGTACCCTCCACTGACATTCCACTAATTTCTAACACACCGCTTCTCAAAGTGCGGTCCCCCGGCCAGCAGCATTGGCATCACCTGGGAACTTGGTAGAAAGGCAAATTCTCAGGACTTACCCAAGATATGCTGAAAGAAAAATTCTATGGATGGGATCCAGAAATCTGTGTTTTAACGGCCCCTCAGAAAATTCTGATGCACAGGAACACTTAAGAACCATTGTTCTAACAGTTAATTATACTGTTTTATTAGTTCGTTGGGCATTTATATTATTAATTCTTGATAATGACTTTGTCAGATCCTGCTTTCTACTTGTTTAATGTGCTTAAGACATTTCCCTAAATTTTCTGGTATTTTCATTCACCAAAGAGATGCTGTGTTAAATGCTGGCACAAAATGTTGAGCAGAAACAGTCACGGGGGGCTGGCCTGGTCACGAGGTGGTTAAGTTCCCACAGCCCGGGATTCGCAGGTTCGAATCCTGGGTGCAGACCTAGCTCCGCTGGTCAAGCCACACTGTGGCAGCATCCCACACAGAACAGAGGAAGATTGGCACAGATGTCAGCTCAGTGACAGTCTTCCTCACAAACAAAAACCAAAAACCAAAAAACAAAAAAACCACTCATGGTTTCTGCCTTCAAGGAGCTCACAGTATAGAAAATCAAATAATTGAATCACATAAATTTAAAACTGCAACCGCAATAGGTGGAGACATTTACAGCGCTGTGAAAATCCTAATGGGGAATTCAACTAAGTTAAGGAAGTAGGAAAGTTCTCTGAGAAAGAGAAAAGATAAGGAATTAACCAGGTATGTCCCTTATAAACCATCATGATTGGATTATTCTAAATTAACCTGAAAATCTTTGTTTTCTAATAAAGCAGATTGTGCCATTTGCTTTTTATTGTTATGAAAGACTTGGTTTTACCCGTTTTGTGTTATGACTTTTTTTCCATGCTCCACCCTCTCTGATTTGTTCCCTTTAGTTTTCAGTTCTTTGAAACTGAAATTGTTTTTCTTTGCCTTTCCATTATTCCCCAGTGGTTCATGATTTTCTAATATTTTCCATTGTTTTGGGTAGTACGTATTTCTCTAATTGCTATAATCAAGCAGGAAAGGATATTTCCACATCTATTACCATTGAGAAAGGTAACTCAATGCTTCTCAAACTTTGGCATGTGTAAGAATCATCTAGAAAGACTGTTACAACAGATTGCTGGGCCCCACATAAAGATTCTGATTCCATAGGTCTGGCATGGGGCTAAGAATTTCCATTTCTCATAAGCTTCTGAGATGCTGACGCTGTTGGTCTGGGGACCACACTATCACTAGGACCAGTTTAACTCACTTTACTGTATCCTACTTTCTTCCGTCTTGTGTTTTTCAAATTCACTTTTAATATTTTCCAATAACCTTAGTCTTTCGCATTCAATTTTATAATCAGATTTGCAACATCTCAAACTTAATTCTGGTTTACCTGGCTCTAGTATTCATAAGTCCTCTTATACTATGCATTAATGCCCCGAAATTGAGCCCATAAACGTCTTCTACCACCTATTTCTTTGGAGTATATTTTCAAATAATTTTTTTTTTTTTCTGGGGAAGATTAGCCCTGAGCTAACTGCTGCCAATCCTCTTCTTTTTGCTGAGGAAGACCGGCCCTGAGCTAACATCCGTGCCCATCTTCCTCTACTTTATATGTGGGACGCCTACCACAGCATGGCTTGCCACGTGGTGCCATGTCCGCACCCGGGATCCGAACCAGCGAACCCCCGGCTGCCAAAGGGGAATGTGCACACTTAACCAATGTGCCACTGGGCCGGCCCCCAAAATAGTTTTTGAAGATGGGTACATAGGAGAAATAGTATGTTTTTGAGCCCTTTCTTCTTTACACATAAATCACAATTTGTCTAGATATAAAGTTCTCAGATTATGATGTTTTCCCTTCAAAACATGCTCCATCATATTTTGGCATTTGGAATTGCAAGAAGTCTAAGGCTAGTCCACTTCGGATTCTTCTGTGAGTAACTTGCTTTTCTTCTAAATGCCTGTAATACTTTTTTTTTAATTTATAGTTTAAAAAAGTCACTAAGATCTAGTTAGTTATGGGTCTCTTTATATTGACTCTTCCTGACATACGATGAGCCCTTAAATCTGCATATACAAGTCTTTCTTTTGCTGAGCAAATTTTTCTTCTATTTTATCTTTGGAGTATGGTTTCTGTCCCACTGGTACACCACCATCAGTTATCCGGCACTGGTACCCCATCCTCCATATTTATCACCTTTTCCTCCTGCTATCTTCATCTGTTCAGGTGTGTCCCCCACATAATTAATTCCATTTCTGCCGACTGACCCTGTTCTTAGCCATCTACAAAGTAGGTTTCAATTCTGTTCCTATAGTATCTGCTTCTTGGGAATCTTTTCCATTTCGCTCCTTTCTTTTTGCCTTTTCACCTTATCCTCTCGCTTTTTCACCACACACCTCAGGCTCCTTCTTCACAGGGGCCATGCTATGGACTGAACTGTGTCTCCCCCAAATTCAGATGCCGATGCCCTACGTCCCAATGTAATGGTATTTGGCCAAGAGGAGAGTTCGCGCTAGAATCCGAACATCCTTGCACCCTGATCTCAGACTTACAGCTTCCAGAACTGTGAGAAAATAAATTCCTACTGTTTAAGCCCCACTGTCTGTGGAATTTTGTTAAAACAGCCCAAACAGACTTAAGACAGGTCATAGTTTCTCATACAGGCTTCCCCCGCTATCTGAAAGTTCGCTTTATGTCACTTTGCTTTGACGAAAGACCTATGTTAGTCCCTGTTTTTGCTACCGAAAGAAATTTGAAGAGGATTTGCATTTTTGCAGAAAGCGAAAATACCATTCAGTGTTTCGCAGAGAGCCATTATAAGAGCAGAGTGCACCCCAGCAGCGGGAGAGGGGCCACCAAGCTGCTTCCCCAGACACCGCGCTCAGCATCTCAGCATCCAGCCGCCAAAGCCGTGAACCGTGTCTCTGAGCACCTGTGCTTTATCTCCATTTATTTTGGTTGGTGAATTTTCGGGTCTGAGGATGCTCAAAAAATTCCCCCATATCCGTCCATGGTCATTGCTTCTTCGCTCTACGCCAGCCCGGCTTATGAAAGCTTTCATGGGAATGCTCTATCTTCAGGCAGAGGGGGAAAACGTGGACTCGATAGTGGTCATCAAACAGAATTTTCTTCTCGATGTTTCAGCAGGTCACTTTCAGAGGTACGCTCTTCTTCTGAGTCTCCCAAATTCTTTTTCTTGTTACGTGCAATTTCACAGTTGCCATGTTTTGTTTTTATTCTTCAAGTTACTCTTCTTTTCCACATATAAAATCAAGTACCCTATAAAGGAATCCAGACTTACTGTTGCAACAGACATGAAGGAAGGGCCCTCCATCTCCCCATTATCGTGGTAGGAACCGTCAGACCTGCAGCTGAGGAGAAAGCTGACACACAGGGCCCCATAGACCAACTCTCGCCTCCCGGCAGGATTCCTCTTCTCCGGCGTGGCTCCAGCCCCCTTCCTCCTAGAGACCCAACTCTCTGATTCACTCAGCTGATGCAGATGTAAGGTGTACTTCCCAGGGCGTGTGCCGCCTGGATTCCTCCTCTTCCCGACCCACAGAGCCTACTGACGGCAACTAGTCCCTTCAGAGTGCACCCCGCCTCTATGGCTCTCCTTGTCCCACGCCTCGTCATTTTTAGGGTTCTGTGGCACCAGCCTGCTTAGAAGAAGTGGCAGCCCCCCAAGAAGCAACATTCTTATTTTCCAAGGCAGCCCCTGAGTGGTGACAAGAGACGGCCTCACACGATCCCAGCAATCTCAGTTCCCCAGGGGAGTGTGCGGGGAGCCAACCTCAGTTCGATTTCTCAGTGCGATTCCCTGCTCCTTATAATTTGTGATAATTCCTCCCAGGTCCTGGCACTGGCTGTCTGTCAGACTTAGTTACTGATCGACAGGACAAGTGTCATCTTGTTCTGCACCTTCCTGAGTAACGAACAGGTACCACTTATTTGATGCTTTCCACGTGAGAGTGGAGGACCCCGCTAATACCTGCACGAGGATCATCTCATCTAATCTCACGACAATCCTCACAGGTGAGTTTTACTGTCATCACTCCATTTTAGCATTAAGGAAACTGGATTAGAAAGGTGATACAATTTGCAGGATGCCACACAGGATTAAGCGTAGAGCTGGCATTCCTATTTGGGATGGCTCCAAAGCTCTCACTCTTGACGATTTCCCAGCAACATCACTCATTTGTTACGTCCTAAACACGAGGCAGGTGCTGGGTTAGACACGTTATGCATGCACCCTCCAAGAGTCCTGTAGAAGACACAGATGTTCTTGTCCCCTACTTCCAGATGAGTCCACAGACGCTCAGAGCGGGTGAGCAGCTAGTAAACCGGTGATGCCAGCATTCGAACCTGGGCCTGATTCTGAAAGCCTGTTTTCATAATTATGATGCCACAGATGGAAGGGCAGTGCCATGCGGGGCCGCTGGCAGACAGTGTACTGAAGCGGGAGGCCACAGATCCCACTGTCCCAGTCTTGTATCCGCCCATGAATGTCCCCGGGAGCATTTCTGATTCACCTCTGGGTTCTCCCACGGTCTAACTTCTCGTAGTTTTAAGGCTGAGGATTTCATCACTTTCTTCAACTCCAAGATTATTTTAATGCTCCTGTTTATTGTATGTCTACTGTGCATATGACGAGCACCGTGCTGCCCACTTTACAGATATTATCATGTCTCCAGTTTCCTGAGTGCTTTTTTTTTTTCCTTAAGATTGGCACCTGAGTTAACAACTGTGGCCAATCTTTTTTTTTTTTTTTTTCCTGCTTTATCTCCCCAAATCCCCCCTGGTACATAGTTGTATATCTTAGTTGCAGGTCCTTCTAGTTGTGGCATATGGGATGCCGCCTCAACGTGGCCTGATGAGCAGTGCCATGTCCGTACCCAGGATCCGAACCCTGGGCCGCCGCAGTGGAGCATAAGAACTTAACCACTTGGCCACAGGGCCGGCCCCCCGAGCGCTTTAAGAGTCCAAAGAAAGCAGAGAAGCATCCTGTGTGAGGAAGGAGGACCCAGGCAATGCCTTCGGAGGGCGGGGAAAGCTCCGCCCCCTGAGGACTGTCCCCAACTTCACTGTTCCCCCTGCCTCATCCACCAGGTCTACGTTTGTGTGTGTATTTTCACAGGCTGCCTTAATCCTTACTGTAATGAGGCAGAGTCAAGAAGGGTTTTCTTCTTGCTGGGCAGTAAGAGAGGCACAGGAAAGAGAGAGGTGAACAAGCAAGTATGTAAATTCCTGAAGGATGGACAGGATGAGTCACTCGTCGCGGTCGCCACAAAGGTCTTCCTAAAATGTCAATCTCATCGAGTCCCTTCCCCACCTGGTAAACTCTCTGGCTCCTTCCCCTCGGGATGAAATCTAAATGCCTTCTGCGGGCACGCAAGGCTCCAAGACCTGAACTCAGAACCAACTGGCCTTGCAATTCCCAGACCAAGCACTGCTCTCCTGCCTTCCAGTGGGATGCAGGGACCCATTCCCTGCCTTCATCCCCACGCGGAAGCCTCCTGGATTCCCAAGATAGGACAGGCACACCCCCGTGGCCCCATGGCTCCCTGTGCTTCAGGCTATGTTGTAACTCTCTGCTGACCTACTGACCCACTGCCCCCTCCCTGTGTGAACGCCGAAGGGCGGGGCCACAGCTTCTCGCTCACCCCTGGGTCCCCACCGCACTCAACCCAAGTGTGCAGAAGCCAGACAGGTTGGCCATGCTCCTGCCTGCCTTCAGGGGCTTACTGGGGCAAGGACAGAGTGTCTGCACGTGGCTCCCTGGACAGCTGCACTTGCTGACAAACCCCTTCCAGTGACCATAACAGCAATAATTCTCCGAGTACTTCCTATGTACCAGGCACTGTGCTAATCGAGAGGCGATTTACATCCATGAGCTCATTTAATCCCCCAACAAACCTGCGGGGAAATGTCCTCCACATTCCAGAGGTGAGGAGCCGAGGCTCAGGACGGCTAACAGACCGCCAGGGCACCAAGCACGGGCTACCTGCACTGCCCTGACCCTGACCCTGACCCTGTGCTGTCCTGCGGCTTCGCAAAAGCTGAAGTCCTACGACTCAACGGCCCATTTCACAGGTGGGCAAAGTGAGGTACAAGGAGCCCAGGGGCTCACTGGCCAGTACTGTCACTGCACGATGAGCAATGCCACCCCTCTTCCAGTGGCGGGACTCGTCCTGCTGCCCTCAGCCACCCCTCACCCATCTCCCCGCCCCACAGCCCCAGCCCCAGAGAGTGGCCCGCATACTTGGCCCGATTTTCTGGAATGGTTCCGGGGGTTCCTCCTTCACCTCGTCAGTGGCCACGACACCTTGGTCGAAGGGGTCTGTGGGAGAACACACGGCCCTTAGCGTCCTGCTCAGTGGGTCTCGGGAGCCCAGCAGGGGACAGGGGAGGCAGGCAGCCACAGAGGACTTACCTGCCCGATTCTCGGGGGCCCCTTCCACACTGAACACTGTGCCCGGGCAGGAGGCAGCAGATGCAGAAGGAAAGAAGGAAACAGGAGGTCCGTTAGTCCTTGCCCATGGCGGCCTCGGCCCGGTGCTCCCAGCTCTGTCCCAGCGAGCTTGCCTTTGGGGCCCGAGAGAGCTGCCTTGGCCAGTGTGGATGCTCCAGGGAACGAGGAGCCACAGGAGGGGGCATCCTAACCGGGAGGCAGTCCGGACCTCCATTCCTCATCCTCCCCAGGGACTGGAGCCCACCCAGGGGCAGGCTCACACTTCCTGCCTGGCCTGTTTCTGGATCATCAGCGCCCCCTCGAGGAGCCAGGAGAAGAAGAGGAAGAGATGGGCAGGAGGGAGGAAGAGGAGGCGAGAGGAAGGACAAGCCACCAGCAATAGGCAGTGGGGCCTGGTTGTCAGAGCTTGAGATGGGCTGGGGGTGTGCGGGGCAGAGAGGGAGCCCCCCAAGATCCTTTCCAGGGCCCTATTTCTAGGATCCTTAAGATTCTAAAAATAAATTACCTAAATTTATTGTTCTCATTTCTAACTCTGTCATCTAAGAGGCTAAAACACTATCGTTCATTTTTAAAAACTGGTTTAATTTCACCGAAGGACGTGAATACTCAATAGGAAATCGTAAAACGAAGTGATACGAAACTGCCGATATCTGACTGATTTTGACCTACAAAAATGGCGTTTTCTCTTAGGTTGCCTGAATCAGAAGGATATATGGAGCCTGACGGGGCCCTTCTCTCCCCCAGAATCCTCAGGGGTTGGTCACGCCCCTCGTGGTCTGGTTGCTGCCTGACCCTCCTCTGGGTAGGAGGAGCGGGGAGAGGGCCCGGGGCGGGTGGGAGGCTGACAGGAGCCCCGGTGGGGAGGAGGGGGTGTGTCTGGACAGGCCTCCGCTGCTGAGGAGTGAGGCCTGACTCACCGTCCACGGCGTGCAGGTCCCGGTGCTCCTGGAAACAACTATAGTATTTGTACTTCTTCCCACAGATGTCACACGTGTACCTGAAATTGTCTGCGGGGGATGGAAAGACACACGTGCTTACAGGGCTTCAGTCCCCTGGGGTGGCACTCTGGGGCCAGTTCATCTGCCGCGGGAACCAAAGACGGGACGAGCCCCAACTGATAACCCCATGGAGAAATCAGTTCCTGGGGTGTTAGGGGTCCTCCACACAGGGGACAGAGAGCCCTGGAATGACTTTCAAAGCAACCCCTGATCCCACCCTGCACGAGCTGAGCTCCTACGGGCCTGGTCCATAACCAGCCCACCTTTCTTCGTGGAGTTACACGAGAACAGGCGTCACTGTGGCTCCCACAGGGCTCTGCGCTGCACCGCGCCGGCCTGGGCGCTTCCCCTGTTTTCTCCATCAGTCCTCGCAACCGAGGGAGGAAGGAGTAACTCACTCATCACGCGAGGAGGCTGAGGGTCAGAAGGGACCCGCCCCGAGCACCACAGCTGGGAGGGCCTGTGACAGGCAGCTTCGGGGAGGGTTCCCACTGTCCCCAGCTTCCCGGTGTTCACGGCCTGTGCAAGCCCTTCTCCTCGAGTCTGGGCTGGACCCGGTGACTTGCTTCTAATGAACAGAATGCAGTAAAGTGATGGGATGTCACTGCCGAGATGAGGTCCCTTTCATCCTGCTCACCCCATCTCTCTCTTGTTCGCTCTTGCTGGCGGCCCCGTAGAGAGATCCACGTGGCCGCCTCTGGTGAACAGCCAGCCAGTGAAGATCTGAGGCCTTCAGTCCAACAGCTTGGGAAGGACCGACCCTGTTAACCACCGTGTGAGTGAGCGTGGGAGCCCTCCTTCCCCGGTTGAGCCCTGAGATGAGCCCCCAGCCCTGGCCGATACCTGACGCCAGCCCGTGAGACCCAGAGGACCCAGCGAGGCCACAGCCTGACTCTGACCACAGGGACTGTGCGGTAATCAGTGTCCGCCGCTGTGAGTCATTAAGCTTTGGGGAAATGCGTTACACAGCAACAGATCATGGATACGGGGCCTGAGTTTGGATGACCCCGGGTCTCCCCACAGGCAGAGGCTGGACTCACTCAGGACACTGCCCTCTCCACAGCAGCAACACTAACGTTTGTACTAGAACGGACCTCGCGTGTGCATTCCCTGGGCTTCTCTAGGAGGGCCTATCCACCCCACCTTCCCAAGAACGCCCAGCACAGGGAGGCTGGGCAACTTGCTCAAGACTGCACAGTGGGGCAGGGAATAGCCAGGAGTCAAACATTCACTCAACTCCAAGCTACAGCTGAGTCAGGGCCCATGGCCCTTCTCTGTCTGGATAAGCCACCCTCCATTTCTGGGTTGGGGCACTTGCCTCTTTGCCCCTCTCCTGCTCCTCAGCACCCAAATACAGGATCTGATAAGACCCCTCCATTCCAAGGCTGCAATGCCAGGCAATTCTGTGGGAAGGTTTCTGGCCCTCACTTAGCTGAACTTACGGACACAGATGACATTAGACATCTCCCTGTCTCTGTCCCCACCTCTTCCACTGCATCTGCAGTCTCTCAAAGTGCCTTGGCAGACACCAGGGCTACAGAGACCAACCTGTCCCTGAGGGAGGCGCACACGGCCTCAGCACACAGAGATGCTCAGGCAGGGTCCCGGCAGGCCGGCATCCTACCAGGCCCCACCATCCCCATGCCCATGCCTGAGCCAGCTGGGGAGTGGTGGGGAAGTGGTGCTGGGGTGTGGATGAGGGGAAGCCCGGATCTGCCCCGCCATGCCCAGAGTACTAGCACATGCCAAGTCCAGCGCAGGATTCAGCTTCCCCTCTTTCCCTCCTGATTTGAGGGGAGTGGCGAGTGGTAGATGGGCTGACTCCCGGGCCTCTCCCAGGCTGGTGCTTCCAAGATTCCAAGTCTGGCTCAGGCTTCCATCCAGAATTTCCCACGACCACCAATCCAGCTTAGACAACAGCCTCCCCCAGCATGTCCCATCTGGACCATAATCCTCTCTCGGGGCTGGAGACCCAGGGAACAGAGGTGGAGAAGTCAAGGCCACCTGGGGTCTGCTGGTTCCAGATGGGGTCCTCTGCTGAAATTCCCCTCCCATGCTGGCCAGCGCTGATGGCCCTCCACAGCTGCTGGCCCCACTCGTCTCTGCCCACACAGCCTCTCCTACCAGCCAGGCCACGTCTACCACCTCAAACAAAACAGGAACCGCCAGCTTTCTGCCACCGAGAAGAACCCCTGCTCTGTCGAGTCCCACACCACTGCTCCTGAAGGGGGCGGGTACCACATTCCCGGGCCCACCTGAGGCAGGAGTGGATTAGGACGAGTGAATTATCCCCCAAAGAAGAAAGGCAGGATGACTTTTTGTCAGCATAGCCACATTTCCAGAGCCCCGAGGGAGCTCAGGGTCTCCAGGTAGGCCACTTCGGACCCGTCAGGGGATGCGGCTCCGAGGTCAGGCTGCCGGAGCCAAACGCACCTGGACCACTTACAAGGGCGACTGACGTCGAACACGCTCCCTAACCTCTGCAGCTCGGCCTTCTCATCTGTGAAATGGGAGTGAGAGCTTGTCTCACAGAGCTGTGGCAAAGAAGAAATGAGCACAACGCCTAACAGACAATAAACCTTTGGTAAACGTTACCTAATATCATTGTTCTGCAAAGGGAATCAATGAGCCGGTAGCAAGAGAACTGGATGCAGAGTTAACCTTTCACTGGCTTCGTCGACAGATGGGTAAGTTGGTATGTGCCTCTACGTATGACTGTACGATTTCTAACAAATAAATGAAAGATCCCTGGACTAGGAGGCGTGAGACCCGGTTTCTGTGCCCCCCTCCCCCGCTACCAAGCCGTATGACTTTTCTCTGGGACTCAGCATCCTCATCTGCAAAATGGGTTGGCTGGACCTGATACTCTCAACAAGACCCTTTTGGCTCCAGGTCTCCCGCTCAGGCTCCTGGAACGAGGCTGGGGCGTGAGGACACCGGGCTTTCTGAGCAGGCCCTGCTGCCAGGGTCAGGACAGAGTGTGGGACGGAGAAAGCAAGCAAACCCGCGGGCCACAGGGAAAAAATTCCACAGGGAGGAAGGGAAGCGATGGAAGCACTAAAAATACTCCCGGCTACAGAGTCCTCAACAAGCAGCGGGCCTCCTGGAACAACGGAAGCCAGACGGAACACAACGGATCATTGACGGGCTGCCGGAGAGGCGGGGAGCCCGGAATAGCCGAGGAAGGAAAGATAAATAGGGAAGTTCTGTAAATGTGTGGCTGACCACAGGCAGACCATAGGAGCCGGAAGAGAAGGGAGCTATTGAGGGAGAAGGAGCCGGGGGCCAGGCGGGGGCGGAGCAGGCTTGGGGAGGGGGGCCAGGCCATCACCTCCTCCCAGCCGTGGGCCCCAGGGCAGGTGTCTGGACAACCTGAGCCTCAGATTCTCCAGAAAACGGACGAGTAGCCTCAGTTCGCCGGCCTCTCACGTGGTCTAAGAAACCAAAGAGAGAGCGGATGGGAAAGTGGCTCCCGCCGGGCCCTTGGGCGCTTTCCGGGATGGGGCTGTCACAGAGAGGCCTCTAAGAACATCCTGGTTCACATCTCTTGGTGAACGCGTGCTCACACTTCTGTCAGGTACACCCCTGGAAGGGGAGCTGCTGGATCTGGAGCTCAGGTTTGTTGGGTGGGGAGACGTCCCATCCCAGCCTACCCTCATCTGGCTGGCTGCTTATGAGGCCCCTGGGTTTAGATCTGGAGGGAGGGCACGCAGGGCCTGTGGGAGGCAAAGCAGGACACTGTCCCCAGATGTCAAAGCCCTGTGCGCCCCAGGGGCTAGGAGGCCACAATCCAGAGATTCGTGCCTGCGGGGCTCACGAGGAAGCTCTCTGAAGTAGCATTTCCCAAACAGCAGCTAGGGAGCCCCAGAGGGATGAGCGGGAGTCAAAACACAGAGGAAATGGCACATGCTGGGCCCCGCAGCGGGTGCACATGTGTGTCCGCCGTTGAAGAGCCCTGAGGGGTCTAATCAGACACCTGCTCATCTCAGGGGACGGTTTCCCCAACTGCTTTGGCCAGAGAACCCTTATCGACGGAACACCTATGAACTTCCCCAGGATGAGTGCGCCACGGAACACACTTTGGGATACGTTGCTCCGAGGGACCAGAGGGCTGGCCTGGACCCCAGTGACATGTCTCCCGGAGGCCACTCGGGGCAGTCCCGGAGGCCGAGGGGGAATCAGAGGCCTCATCTGCTCCTCTTCCCACCCCCCACCCTCTCGGAGCCCATGAGGAGGGAAGAGTACTCACTGCCTTGGGAGGCTCCCTCCCCTGAGGTGGCTTCGGTGTCTGTAAGACAGACAGAGAGAGAGTGAGAAGGGGGCGAGCAGACTGGACCAGCGGTGCGGCCAGTGCCGAGAGAGAAGCCGGGGCAAGCGGTGGCAAGGACTGCCCACGACAACATGGCCAGTGACGCTCTCTTCCCACTCGAGACACAGGGGAACAAACCCTCACAGTCCTCCCCCATGCCCCCTGCTGTCAGCTAGGCCCCAACCCCGTGCCCTTCCTCCCTGCCTGCCAGGCTCAGGCAGGGACAGCGCCATCCATCCTGTCCCCTCAGCTTCAGTGTCCTCATCTTCAGAATGGGAGACACCGCCCAACCCCACTCCTAGGGCTGCCATGAGGAGCACGTGAGACGACACGGGCCCCTCCCCTGCAGGGGCTGCTGATACAGGGCAGCACTGAGGCATCCTGGGAGGAAGCAGGCCCGTGTGGGGCAGGCAGGGGTCAGTCGAGAGCAGAAGCCTAGTGGCAGGTCCTGCTGGCCCCCCCCCGGCCCCTGCACTCCCCCAAGTTAAGGAGGCTTCTCCTCTCCTCCCCAGGTGCCCCTCCGACTGGAGAAAGAGGGAGGAGACTAGAAAAGACTGGAGCACTGAGGGCCTCTGGGGCCACCCATGAGGGGCCCAGTGGAAAAACAGGCAAAGAATGGGGAGATCGGCCCCTCGGCTCTGCCCGGGGACCCCCGCTCACCTCGGTGTGCCCGTACGTGGGTCTGGAAACAGTTGTAATACTTGTATTTCTTGCCGCAGATTCCACACTCATAGGACCCTGGAACAAAGGAGAGGAAGGGACTCGTCAGCCAGCACTGACACCTGCAACCACGAGGCCCAGGACCCGTGGCGAGGCCTCCAGGTGCCACCAACTCTGCGTCAAGGGGGCAGGGCTCATCCAACAGGCTGCCTTGACCCTGGGAGGCAAAGTGGCCCAAGGACCAGGTGACACGGCACAGAGCTGGAAGCCAGGAGGTCTGGGTCTAGTTCCAGGTTTGCCTCAACTCGCTGAGCGACGTTGGGCAAGTCACTTCCCATCTCTGGGCCTGCGTTTCCAAATGTGTAAGAAGGAGACGGTAACTTCTCCAGCTAACTCTCATCCTTCTTCCTTGAGAGGAGAAAGGGGATGAACACAAACGTGCTCCGAGAGGAACAAATCGCATCCATATAAGGAACTCATCATCACTTATGTACATCAGGTTAATTTCTAGCTACTTCTCCTCATTGCCAGGATGGGACAGAGGCTGAGAGGACAGGCTTCGCATCAGACACAGCCATATCCCTGGGCCTGTTCTGTCACTTACCAGCAGCACGACCTTGGTGATTTCCTTGGATATGCTAAGCCTCAGTCTGCTCATCTGCAAACTGGAGCTAAAAGTACCTACCTCGTTAGTGTAGCACCCTCTCCTCCCCCTGGGAAGCACCCCACCCTACTACAGATATGCAGACAAGGAGAGGACCCCCCACGTCTGCTGAGGAGCTGTCTTGTTCCCGCAGACGTGCAGAGACCAACACGCAAAAACGCTGACTCCAGGCTCTGCCAAGCCCCCCTCCCAGGAGCAGGTGGCCTGAAATGGCTACGTTCCCAGTGGCCCCTTCAGACAGGTCAAAGGTGAAGCGCACTCACGCAGAGCAGGGGGCGAAGGTCCATGGCGGGAAACCACGCAGAGCCCATCAGACCCAGCCTGGCAGGGGCCTCCAGGGCAGAGGCCCTGCCCCTCCTTCCTGGATCCAGGCCACCGGGCCCAGGTCCCACTCTTCCTAACAGAACGGCCAGGGAGCTCGCACAAAGACAGAGGCCCCGGCCCCACTCCAGGCAGAGTGCACAGAACGGCTGGGGCCCAGGAACCTGCCTGTCCCAAAAGGGTCCCTGGGGGATTCTGATGCCCAGCAACCAGGAACAGAGACCACCGGCTTCAAGTAAGACAGACCTGGGATAATGGAGTCTCGGCCCCATCATTTACTGGCTGCGCCTCAGTGTCCTCATTGGAAAAAGGTGGATAATGCAAGAGCACTGATGCGAAGACGGAATGGAGCAGGAACAGTGTTCCTCTGTGAGCCCAGTGACGGCCACAGCCCCGACTCCTCGTCCCCTCAGCCTCACCGGGAGGCAGAGGCCTGAGTACTGAGCGTGACCTTGAGGGACCAGATTAAGTCAGGACAGCACCGGGTGTGCAATGCGAATGTCATCTCAGCTCTGCGCCCCCTAGCCCTCTGATCTCGGGGACGTCCCTTTTCCTGCCCGAGCCTCAGTTTCCTCACCTGTACGACAGGACGATAACCCTACAGGCTCACGACTGAGGTCAGGAGGAATGAGCCACGACATGCGAGTAGGCTGGCTCACAGGCAGCATCGCCCCCTCCCCACGGCGGGTCACCAAAGAGAACGCTGTCACCCTAATGCCAGCTGGGAATCTGGCAGGGTGTTATTTAGTGGCTTTATTTGTGTTACCCTGTCTCCCAGGGAAAAATATAAACACGCGGAGGGCAGAGATCAGACCGTATATCTCTTTGTCTTTAGCCCCGTGACTGGCACCCAGCGGGGGCTCAATAAATTTACAGTGTCCTGCTGTTCTACTCATCCGTCACCGAGTAATAATGACCCCAACTCCCTCCCTGAGCCTCCGCCCACTCTGCCACAGTTTCTGCCAATTCCCCTTCAACTGATGGAGAATTTATTGAGCACTGAGCATTGAGCACCCTCACCATGCCTGGCGCTGAGGCCCCAGCCGTGAGCAAGACGTGATGGCTGCCCTCCGTCTCATGGGAAGCAGACAAGCCACCAGGCAAGGGGACGGTGCTCCCAGAGCGACATGCGAAACCCGGTGGGCGCAGTGAGAGACTCTAACAAACTGCCGCGAGGAGCCAAAGTCAGGGGAGCAAGCAGAGAGGAGAAGGGGCCGAGGGGCTGAGGGGCAGAGGGGCAGAGGGGCAGAGAGGAGAAGGGGCCGAGGGGCAGAGGGGCAGCGGGGCAGAGAGGAGAAGGGGCCGAGGGGCCGAGGGGCCGAGGGGCAGAGGGGCAGAGGGGCTGAGGGGCAGAGGGGCAGAGAGGAGAAGGGGCCGAGGGGCCGAGGGGCCGAGGGGCCGAGGGGCCGAGGGGCAGAGAGGAGAAGGGGCAGAGGGGCCGAGGGGCAGAGAGGAGAAGGGCCCGAGGGGCAGAGGGGCAGAGGGGCAGAGAGGAGAAGGGGCAGAGGGGCCGAGGGGCCGAGGGGCCGAGGGCAGAGGGGCCGAGGGGCCGAGCCCTGGAGGCGAGAGGACCGTGAGCCCCAGGGAAGGCGGAGCCCCTCCCCAGAGGACTGAGGACACAGCCTGTGATGGGGGAAGACTTGTCCAGACTCGAGCGACTTCCAGAGGAGGTCTCTACGGCCCTCTCTGCTCCTCTTTGCCACGAGGTCCAGGCCTCAGTTTCTCCAACCGTAGGCAGCGACCTCCAGTCTTTTCTCAAACTGTACAGTAACTGCAGGCTGAAGGGCAGAGCCCGCGGACTGTCACAGGTCCCCTTACCTGTGCCCCCAGCAGGCCAGGTCCCTCCTGGCTTCACGGAGAGAGCCGTGGGCACAGGCAGCCTTGCTCACACGTCCCAGTCCATACGGAGACTCCTGGGGGCACGGTGCATTGCCAGCCTCAGGCCCTCTCCTGGCCCCAGGGCAGCGTGGGGCACCTGTCCAGCACACCAAGTCTCAAGACAGAGCACTGTGTGCTGGCAGGAGGGACCCCAGGTTCAAAGCCCTGCCTACCCCCCGCTCACCCTAAGACCTCGGGCTTCAGGTGCCCTGTCTGCTAAAGGGGCTGGATGGGCAGAGGTGGGGAGTGGGAGAGTGCAGAGCGGCCGCACCACAGTGCAATGGTGTCAACCCGGGTCCAATCCCTGCTCACCACATACCAGCCGGGGAGGCCGGCCAAGTCAGGGAGCCACCCACGCCTCAGGCTTCCTCTCTGTAAGAGGGACAGCGTAAAATGATGCCCATTTCACAGGGGGTTGTGAGCAGTAACCCTGTGGGTATCTAGCACAGAGCGGGACACAGCAGGTACTCCATAAAGAATGGTTGCCATTACTCTCAGCATCTCCCCAAGTTTTTCTGAGGACCCAACTTCCTGAATGCATCCTGGGAAAGAGAGGGCCGTGGCCGAGCAAGGTGGAGGCGTAGCCCGTCCTGGGGAGGTGTAAGGCGTGGGAGCGCGCCAGGTTCTGAGCGGGCGGTCCTGCCATAAAGGAGCCCGGCTGACTGTTTAACCATGTCTCCCAACCATCTGGCCACCGAACGCCGGCCCACAGGAAGTGCTGCCAAGACAGTCCCAACACGCCAGCCTTCCAGGTTTCCACGTGCTCCGTCATCCCTCCGGCAGCCACGTCTTCCAGGGTCCCAGGCAGGCTCTGATTTGCTGACACACGGCACTGACGAGGCGGAGGAGCGTGGCCCCTCATGTCGCTGCAGATGCTGGCAGGCCTTGCTTACTCAGGGGTGAGCAGCTGACAGCTACGTCCAGCCGTGTCCCCACCCTCCTGCTGGCCCAATCAGGTCCTCCGGCCCCTTGGCCATCACATACCAGATGCATATCTCAATGCTTGGTCAAAGAAATCCAGGTCCCTGAACAGCAGCTGTGCACACATCCACCGTGGGGGCTGCCTCCGGGCGCTTTTCCATCTGAATTACGTAAGAGATCAGAAAGAGCCCTTAAAGGTGGGGATGCCTGGGCGGCTGGGAAAGGGGCCAGGTGAGGAGGGGCTCTGCATCTAGGGTTGGCCAGTCACCAAGCTTCAGGGCTTCGGTCTCCCCATCTGCACACTGAGAAGCGTTCTGTCGACTTTTTCACTGACGAACTTGTGCTGGCAAAGGGGCATCAACGAGCTCCCCAGGGAGGCTGGGGTGTAGCAGAAAGCAGCAGGCCCAGATTTCCCGAAGTTTTGTGTTTTCACAAATGCATAATATGGATATAACATAAAACTATCCGTAATATGGTTCTAACATTTCTCTCTCCAGGAAGGATGGGCTCCACATGTGCTGTGGCCTGTGTCCTGTGATCTCCGGTCACGACGGACCCAGGTTGGTGCAGTGGGGCGCTGGAGGGCCTTCTCGGGGACTCTCAGCTCTGACGGTCCCCATCCTGGAGCCTGACTCGCTGCCCGGCACACTTTCTCACTCTGCGGGGTTCCCTAATGACCCTTTCATCCTTTGTCACCATCACTCTCTCCTAAGTGCCAGGTGCTGCAACTCACTTCGTGTGCACCTCCCCGACATCTCTCGGTGGGCCTGACCTCTGACTCCAGTGCACAGGGGGGTGGGGGGTGGGAGTGGAAGCCGGCCAGATGGGCAGCGACCTGCCCATTTCACACAGCCAACTCGTGGGAGCGGCCCAGACACAGCGCTTCTCACGCATCAGTCCAGCAGGCAAGGGCTATGATGATCCTCACTCTTCAGATGAAGGAAGTAAGGACCTTAAGGGGGACATATCAGGCGAGAGGCTGCCCAGATCCTTCTCGACCTGAGCCCACAGGTGTAACCACCACACGATCAGCGTCTGGGAAAGCGCCGAGAAGAGAGGGTGCTGTTCACATTTACCATGTACCGAGTACATGCAGGTCTCAGTCCCGTCCTCCATCTTTCCAGAAGCCCTCGTGTGGTGGGGACAACTCAACACCCACTTCTACGATGAGCCTGAAAGCTCTAGGGGCCAGGAGGTCCAGGCCGGGGCTACCCAGATAGTGGCTGGCAAGGAACTGGGCTCAAAGCTGGCCTTCAGGGCTCTGGAGCCATTCTACCGCCACCATGCCAGGTCC